GGAAAGAACAATTTTTCTAAGAAAAATGCTGGAGTTTAATCTAAACAACAACTGTGTTCGAACTGTATTCATTGTGCATGGACTGCGTCCACTGTTATGAGTGTGAAGCAGCTCATTAAAGATGAGATTAATCAGGAGTGATAGCTAATTTGATTAAGAAAGGGTACTGGTGATTAATATTTATAAAGTTATAATGATTTTTCTATTTTCTTTTAGTTATGCTCCATCTCTTTGATTTCTCCTGAGTAATTATAGACAAATCATCTGAATGCTTTTGAATCTTTCAGAATGAAAAGTTCATCTTTTTCATGTCTGTGGTCAAATATCAACTCTCGTCTTCATTTTAAAATATACTGGTAATTCCCCTTCTTCTTCCATTGCCAGTAATGTTGCACATGCATATTCTAGCTTTCTCACTGTTGCCTCAGGTAGGAGCTGGACTAATAATGAAAAATGAATCAGACATTCTCCTATACCCTCCAGGTCTGATCCTGCAAACATTTCCATGTTTAACTTTAGATGTGTGAGTAGTATCCCTGAACTCAGAGAGAGATTGCAAAACCAAGAGTGAATAAAAGTCTTCATTGCACTGAGGTATAAGAACTTTACCATTAATCTGTTCTTTCGCTAATTAATTTTATTTACCTCTTGCTTTCTTGTCTGTGCAAAGCAATTAAAGCCAAATGTTTAAACGAGTTTAGATACCTGACTTGCACTTCTTTTTTTTCCTAGCTTATCAGTGTCCAATTTTGCAGCCTGGAAGATGAATAATTACTTAGTAGGTGTGAGTAAATACTTCTCTGTATGTTCAAATATCGGTTTTGTACCTAGGGAGGCTTGACTATTGTTTGTTCTTTTTTTTAACCAGCTCATGAAGAATATTCCATCAATCTTTCAATGCCTCCAAGATGGATATAGAATCCAGGGTGAATGAACTGACTTTGCGTCACATCCAGTGTAGCAGGAGACTAACTGACATATGACATCTCACAGGAGGTTTGCAACTGCCTTCACTGAGGGGGTCAATGTCATTGCAGACAAAGTTGTCCCCAGAATGATGAGTTTTGACACTGGCAAGTTTGGAATTTATCTTACAGGCTTTTACGCATGCTGATGTACCTATAAAGATATGGAAAAAAAGAAACTTCATCAAGAAGTTTCATGCAACATGCAAGAAAGGAAATGCTTTATTATCAGTGTGTTTGTCCCTATAAGTGCCACTACTGGTGGAACCAGAGCACTCAAGGCTTAAAGCTTAGAAAAAAAAAAATAGCATGAAAAATTACTAGTGTATAAGGCAAAATCTTATAAGCTCTTGAAATAACATGTACATAGGCTGAAAGTTTGGCTGAACACTGCCTCATCTTTTGGATTATTTGACTTTTACTTTTCTGCAGTGGGTAAGGTTTGCTCCTGGAGAGTGACGGAAAGTTCTTGCCTGAATGATGAATAAAAAGATAAAATCTCGTCCTTTTTAGCATTTATACCAAAACTGTTAAATATCACTTCCTACCATTATTTTTTTAATCATGTTGAACAAGTTTAATATTTCTATTAATAACATATCAGAATTTGCAGATAAGAACATCTAATATGACCCTGCACATTAATTTCCACACTGTGCATGTTCTTAACAAATGAATATTAAATTAAACATAAAAGGTAGACTTTACAATATTCAGATATGGCCTATCGGAGGTTACCGATGCCACAAGCATTTCAAGGCACAATTGTATTCCACAGTTTTTTGCATCTCGCTAGTATGTTGTTTTCTCTGGAAATATAATGAAAAAAAATGGACACTGAAACTCTTATGACTGGGATTCCAACTCTCCAGTTTCCACAGAGGTTTCACAGACAGATTCCATAAGCAAGATGTTCTTTATGTTGTTTTCAGAAGAAACTGGAAGATCATGAACAACAAGGCCTATCTGAATCCTATTAACTTTGAAATTATGCTGAAGATGATGTTATTATATGTAAGGAAGGAGGATAAAATTCTTGATATCTCTGAAAATAAACTTAGGTAAAAACTCAGGGATTTTAAAAGTTTAAACAGTTTCATAACTTGAAAGAAAGTCAAAAGTGACCTTGTAAACAGTTTTATGGAAAACTGGAGTTTAACTCCAGTTTAACTCCACCAAAAAAAAAAAAAAATTAATTTGTTCACTTGAAGGACATGGCACATTGACACTAGGCAGTAGCACAAATATTCATTTATCATGTCCCAGTGGATTAAAATCATAGCCTTATGCAGACTATACTGCTTTAATCTAATGCTGAGGTAAGAAAGGCATGAGTCATGGAGGCAGAATTTTCACCTGAAAAGAAACAGCTGTAGCCTATGCAAACATGTTTTGGCAGCTGCTGAAAAATTATGATCTGAGGGCTGTTCAGATTTTTGTCGTATTCCTGAATCATGATTTCTAACAAATAGACACATGCTCTATCAAAAGGGTGAATCAACCTTTTGCTGTGTCATCTGGATGCTTTTGCAATATGTCATGATTATTTTTCTCTTGTCCAGATAACTCTCAGTGCCCAAATCCTTGTCAGATAAATCAGTACTCAGATCTTTGACAGACAATGGCCATGATTCAGCAAAGCGTATAAGCCTGTGGCTAACATCAAGGAAATCTTAAGTTTTTGCTGCTTTAGGCTTGCCAGTGTAATTATATGACCAAATTTTTGTCAATGTTTCTCATGGAGAAGCTAGACAAATACATTTGATTTTGATAGTTTAAAGTACGACTAACAGAAAATGCGATTAAGATTCTAATTGACATTTGTGTTATTGTGAAATCAGCAACCATTTCTAAATGTCTTCTCATTTTAATTTATCCACTTTCTGGCAGGCTGTGGAATTAATCCTGGTCTGTGAGGCTTAGAATCACCAGAAGAATTATTTACAGGATTGCTGCAGCAATGGATCAGAATGATATCTTTGAAGCACTATTTGCTAAAATATGACTCTGAAAGCAAGTGACAGAAGATTTTAAGCAGAATGGATTATTTACTACCCTGCCTCAATGAGCATGATGGCTGAGACCCATTCTTTTTCTGCAGTGCAAGAAAATGGATAGTAACTTTACACAACTGCTATTACAAAACAAACAAACAAACAACCCCCCCCCCCAAAACAACCAGAACAATGCACATACTGTATACGTCAAAGATAAGGGTGTACACTCAATCAATTTATATACAACGTCTTGCTTTCCTAACACAGAGCTGATGAGGAAGAAGTGATAAGGAGGAAGGCTGCGTTACTCCTATCATTTTAGGATCTGAAAAAGTGTCTTAATTTGTGGTAAAACTGTTACAGACCTCAATCTGTGTCCTAAAGTTACAGTCCTGCTCCTACAGAGATCATGGCCATTGCTTTCTGGCATTTGAGAAACCTAACAGAACTAGTTCTGCAATTTAATACAAATGGACAGAAACCTGAACTTGCGTGGACCCCCACTGAAATCATACCTAAATCTCCTACGTCTGCATTGTTTCTTGATGTGATTTGGATTATGTAGGTAAGATATGTAGGCAATTGATGTAAAAAGAAAAAGCTGGAAAAGATGGCAAAGGACTTCTCTGACCCTCTGAAAGAGAATGAATCTTCCATTTGCCAGAAATTGAAATAGAAATACATGGTTGAATTTCAACTTTCTTTGAAACAATTAAGTAAATAACATGAGTCACCAAATTATCAAAACTTGTGACTTTTTTGTCCCGGTGAAAATTTCCTGGAAAGTAGGAGGTGGTTAAAAATAGAGGGGAAGAAATATTTGTGAACAGTATCACAACTATTGGAGTCTCTGTTGATTCTGAATTTTCAAAGAGGGAAGTGTGGGGTTTCTTAAATATTTTTGTAGAAACTGAAATTACACTGAAAACAATATAAACCCATAGGACTTCTGTGGTGTCATATTACTCGTGTACCAAGGACTTCAAGACAATTTGTTAATATCCACATTGCTCTGTTAAACAAAGCCTTTGCTTTTTCATTCAATAAGTATTTTTACATGAAAGGCAGCGGTTCTATTTAATAGAATGTGTATATACACATACACATATATACACATAATTTTAAGATTCTATTTCTCTTTCTCATCTAAAGTACACTGTACACCCTTAGCACTGAAATACTGTGATGCTGCTGTTTATATTTAGGACATAATGTATACTTTATGCAATACAGTTTGTTGGGATAGGATAACTGTCAGACACATGATTTCCACATTCCCACTGAACACAATTCATGGAACACTGGATGCTGAATACTAACAGACTGCAACAGGAAGAAAACTAACAACTACCTTTTCCTACAGTACTATTGCTAGATTAATACTCTTTTTCTGTACTTCAAATATTGACTTAAATAATATGCTTTCTTGAGACCTGGCACATCTCTCCACTCAGTCACCTATAGAGTATTTCAGCAGCTTCCTAGCCCAGAAGTGAGCATGCCACTGAAGTTTCCCTTCCCATATGTTTACCCAAGAGAGTATGGTCACAGACTTTTTTAATACTCCCAGTAATACTCACATGGAAACTGGCTCTTAATGATGCATGAGTTTTTATTTCTAGCAGGAGGAGATAATTTAGTAGGTGTAATTCCTCAGGGGAACGTGCAAAGTGATGGGAGCAGCAGGGCAGAAAAAAGTTCAGGCTGCTTTTTCTAGACAGATAGCATTCCATTAGTGGGGAGTGAGCGAGCCATATAGGTCAGTGTCTCAAATAGTGCATAAAAATGTTACCCAAAGGAATCAGAGCACTCTACTGCACTTGTGGGGTTGCACTGCCACCTGGTGCAGTCCTCAGTGATTACAGTCTCTGCCCAATACTCGGCAGGGCTTTTTTTTTTGCTTAAAACACCTGCCAAAGGACTACAATGGGAAGATGCTGTTACAAATGCTGATAGTTGGGTTTGGTTATATAAATAGATATGGATACGTCAGCGTATGGGTACGGGATCAAAAGCACTGAGGTAGGTCAGGGGGCGTATGCCGTGTCAGCTGAGCAACGGTAACAGGCAAGGTACTTCATCTGTCGCAGCTGCAAGGTGGGCTGCATGGGCTTCAGCTGCCAGGACAGGAGTTACCACAGGTTACTGCCAATTCACTGACCTGTACTGCTTCGGTCTTTGCAGCTGGCTGTATGTACGTCGCCAGGTGACGCAGCCCTGGCCAAGGGGCCTGTGCAGCCGGGTGGGTGAGGCAGCCTGCAGCCTCCCAGCCGGCCATCTAGCACAGCCAGGTGCTTCTCTCCAGCCAGGCCTTCCTCACCAAGCAGAGCAACACGGAGGCGCTCTGACTAATGCGGCTACGACGGAGAATCTCGTCCCAGGGACCAGGAGGTGACAACTAATGGCAAAAGGCTTAAAGAACAGTTCATTTTTCATCGCTTTCCAGGGCCTTGTTGTATTCACACCCGTCTCTGAAAACAGAAGGCTGGAAACAATGCCCCAAAAATCTGAGATTCTTGTGCCATCCATGATGATTTCAGTGCAGTCCGAGGCCCCTTTGGGGTTAAAAACTCCATGACACACGTAAAACGCCCTAGATTGAGGGCGAAGCCGCTGTTCAGCCGCGGCCCCCGCGGGCTGAGGAGAGA